GTAATTTGAATCATTTTTCCTATCCAAAAAACGTGTTCTAGTTTATAAATAATGGTCGTTTTGTTTTATTCTTGGTTGTTGTAATTTAATGAACTGACTAGTCATTATCTATTGGGTCATGAGTTTGGACTAATCCACTCTCAAATCAACTGGTATACTTGAAGCATTCATTATCTGCTGAGTAATGCTGGTTATTGTCACATAATATGCGGCTTATAAATGAACACGTCCGCAGTTTCCATTTACTAATCATCACTATACGAATCTAGGAAGTTTCGGAATATTCCAAGCTTAACGTATTAACTCCAAAAAAATTATGATAAAGAATATCTGTTGATAACATCTTAGTGTGGCAATAGATAGAAAAATGTAAATAAATAATATTCAGCTTTAAATAGTTAGTCAAGAGATTTATTCGTGATCTTGAAGTAATCCAGAAAATATCCCAAACTAATGTATGCTGGTTGTTAACTATCGCAGAAATCGGTGTACCATTGACATACGTATTAATGACTTATTATAAAATCTCAGTAGGTATTTTCCGATCCCATATAATAGAATAATTTCCGAATTCAACAGTAAAAGATGTCTCCAACCTGCAAGGGTTTTACATTTAATTCCAACATTCAAGAGTAGTGGATATTCAGTTCTTACATTGCATTAGGAAAATATGACAGTAACGTGCCCAGTTTTGAAATATTAGTTGCTGTGTATCTGTTACCTAACTAAATGCACAATCATGACATTGGTCAACATTCTGTGTAGAAGTTAATGACGCACCTTTGCAACCCGAAACCAGAGTAGGTGCAGCAAAGCTCGAGCCCGTGACTAAAAGTGAACGATTCGAACCACTTAGTTTCATAAAAAGCACTTGTGATTTTTAGCCCTATTCACTTTCTTTGTATAGGGTTTTAAGTTATACCCATCACTACTTATTTACTTATGCTTGTTACCTCTCATGGAGGAGCATAGACCACCTATCAGCATTCTCCAACAAACTCTGTCCTGAGCAATCCTTTCCAGTTGCTATTCATCATTTTGATGTGTGCTTCCGATTTTCGACACAAACTGTTCTTTGGTCTTCTCTATGCTAATGTGGTATGGCAACTCGAACTGATGTACGTACGAAGTTTTACGTTGTTACTGTCTGACCCTTCTTCTCTGTTGCCCTTCAGGATTCCAAGTTAGTGCCTCGTGATATCCAAAATGTATATCCTATTCACTTTCATCTTTTCTTAACTTCCTCTTCAGTCGGAAGCAGTTTTTTCTCTCCCACAGTATACTTGCTTAGATAATTGTTTACAAATACTTGAAGAACGAATGTCCGGCGCTTTAACCGGATTTCAAACCAAAGCAATAGTGAACATGGGCTCCAGTATCCTGCGGGAACAAATGGCGTATGAACCAATCGTTGGTCACCGGCTACCATGGGATTGCATCTCCTTACGATGCTCCACTGCCTTGTGGGTTAGACGTTTAGATCAAAGGCTCGGGGTGTGGAACCTAAGATAACCACCTGCTTCGGTCTGGGTACCCGGGCAGAATCACAGCACACACACAAATGATGAACTGTCTATATTTATGGAAACTACTTTTCTTGCTTCGACTAACAATCAAATGATAATATTATTTACTACGTCACTATTCACCCTTTTTTATTCCTACTCTGTCTATTACCTATTTTGTCGACTTTGGTGGAAATTCGACTCTATCTAAATGTTCTTGAGTCACTGTCCGGTTGAAAATTGTATGTACCACCGAATGTGAGTACTGAAGCAGTTTTTCTGAAACCACGTGCACCATTCAAACTGGTTGCCTTCAACGTTCGCACACTTATGCAGGTTGGACAACAGATAGGGCTGGCTATGTCTTTGGAAAGTCTTCATATCGATGTCTGCTGTCTATCCGAGACCCGTATTCAAGACTCTGGTGAAGTACTACAAATTCGCTCTACATCTGTCACTTCAAAAAGCTTGTTTTACGTGCGCTTATCCGGGGACCCTCTGGCATCTTCGTCTGGTCTTGCTGGCGTTGGTGTCGCACTAAGCGCTAGAGCTGAGGCAGCACTAATCGATTGGATCCCCATTAACAGTCGGTTATGTGCTGTTAGATTAGAAAGTTCCATCAAAGTGAGAAGAAATTGGCGTGAGAAACGATGTCTTTTCGTCATCTCCGCCTATGCCCCGACAGATTGCAGCCCGGATGCAATCAAGGATGAGTTTTACCACCAGTTATCTGTTCTTCTCCAGAAAGTGCATTCGACAGATATTGTAGTACTAGCCGGAGACTTGAATGCTCAGGTCGGGCGTCTAGGCACAGAAGAGAGTCGTTTAGGTGGCCGATGAGGACTTGTTGGTCGCACGACAGTTGATGGGGACCGTCTACTGCAACTGTGCACAGACCACAACCTGTTTCTGGCTAGCACTAACTTTCGGCACAGTCATCGCCGATGTGCCACCTGGCGTCCTCCCTCTGCATCCCATGCCTGGATTCAGATTGATCACATCGCGATCAGCTTTCGCTGGCGTGGTTGTGTACAAGACTGCCGCTCCTTTTGGAGTACCTATCTGGACTCTGACCATGCTTTGGTCTGCGCCAATCTTACCTTACTTTTCAGTGGCCAACGAAGTGACCGCCACCAACGGATTGATATTAGCAAGCTGGTTGCAACTTCTGTTGCTAGTAAGTATCGAACCGAGCTAGTTTCTAGGCTAGCTACCATTCCACTGAAAAGTATAGATGAGCATTGGTTGCAATTGCATGACGCCATGAAAATGGCGGGTACAGTCAGTTGTGGGTTTGCAAAATGTCCCGCTTATAAGCACTGGGTTTCTTCTGGTTCCTTACAACTCATTGAAGCCCGTCGGTCTACTCCGGGTGACCGTGAGTTTGACCACAAACGAAGCATGTTACGTAAGGAAGTTGGGCAAAGCTTGAATAAGAAACGAGGAGTCTGGTGGTCGAAGCGTGCTAATAAGCTGGAGGCAGCAGCTGCATCTGGTAATTACCGGAAGCTCTTCCAACCCATCTGAACCACTGGCAGCAAGAAGTCTGGTGTGAGTGAAACAATCTGCGAGGATGATGGGATGCCAATCATTAACATCCATCGACGTCTTGGACGATGGGCAGAATTCTTCGAAGGGCAGTTCAACTGGCCTGCTGCTCCGGCAACATCGGTCAGACTGTCCTGCCCTTCATGGTCGGTGACGACTGATCCACTATATGAGGCGGAAGTTCGCAAGGAACTCCAACTCTTGAAGCGTTACAAATCACCTGGCCCAGATGACTTACCTCCGGCTCTTTTTAAAGATGGTGGTGGGCAGATAGAAGTAGTCGAGAAGCTCGTGTATCTGGGTAGCTGCATAAGTGTTGGTGGTGGCGTGAGTGACGAGATCAATGCAGGTATAGTGAAAGCCAGAGCGGCTTATGCCAATCTGGGCCACCTTTGGCGCCTTCGTGATGTTAGTCTGGCTGTAAAAGGTCGGATCTACAACGCGTCGGTGAGAGCAGTTTTACTCTATGCTTGTGAAACCTGGTCTCTCCGAGTTGAGGACGTTAGACGACTCTCTGTGTTCGATCATCGTTGTCTCCGAAGGATTGCTGACATTCAGTGGCAACACCATGTCAGCAATGCAGAGGTTCGGCATCGTGTGTTCTTGGCACAGAGATGATAATGCAATTGGTGTCACCATCTTGAAACACCGACTTCGGTGGCTTGGACATGTTCTAAGAATGTCGTCCCAAAGAATCCCACGTCGTGCATTATTTTCCGACTCTGGGACTGGTTGGAAGAAGCGGAGAGGTGGTCAGTGCATGACATGGTGTCGTGGCATGAAAGAAAGCTGCAAAGAACTGGCTTGTGTTGGTCCTTCACGACTCCCTGGTTGGGGTCTGAGAGATGGTGCTATACAGTGGCTAGAGACGTCATCAGATATGGCTCAGAATAGAAGTCAGTGGCGATCCTGCTGTAACCTTCTTTTACTTTCTTCATAAAAAGTGGTTGTCTCCCTCAACTGAAAGATTTTTTCTGATTGTACTTTACCGTTTCCATCATTATTATAATTATTACACTACCTTACACCAATCTCTCTCCGTTGTCGTTTTTTTGCGCTCCTTAGCTTTTTTTTCTATTCCTCTTGAAATTCTCATTGTTTTGTGTGGCGCACTATTGTACTAATATTTATGTGTCCAAATAAAATATAATAATAAATAATAGTACCCTCTTTTGATGATGGTTGTAGTAGTTCTCCAAGGTTTAACTCTGTACAGTCGACGTTCGTATTAAAGATTTCGACTTTGATAATTGGCTGACAGTTGTTGCTCATCATTACACTAATTCAAAAATTTGTACCTAGTATTGATAGATCTTGTCATTTTTAAACAATGCATTGTATATTCCAGACGCTTTTGAGGTTTAAAGGTTAATGTTGTACTTGGCATTCACTTTTTGAACAGAAATTTCGAGTAACTGCGAGGGGATAATGAACGCTATACTGGTAAACTTGATAACTCTTAATCACCCCCGGCAGATCCAGTAAATAAAGTTAGTGTTGTACTTAATGTCCTTCGAGAAAGACGGTAAACTATGAACAGCATAACCGTTACGAGCTGCCAAATCCATGGCGATATGTTCTGGACACAGCTTATTATTTCGAAGGCGTTTCTTCGACGACTTAATTTCCATTAATCCTGAAAAATGGTTGTGTTAGGTATTTTTCCAATCATAGTTTTATATTGATACTAATATGTAAACTACAACATTAAACAATGAGTAATATATGCCGGAATTTAATTTTATAGCAATTGGTGAATCGATTGTATCTTTCTAGATTAACGTTCTATGCACGATTTTACGAGCTGATATCGCTTTATTCCGTAACCGTGAAATTTTTTTGAATTGTTGTCAAATAATATTTAACACAGACATTGACTGATTTAGATTATGTAACACGGTACAAAACGTATGCTTTCAGTAGAAGTTGATCGATTATTTAACCCTAAGAAAATATATGCTCCTTGATACAAATCAAATCTTTTATTTGTAAGAATGAACTATCATAATCATTCACCTATAATGAACATTGAAATTGCAGCTAATATTGAAATCCCTATCGAATAAAAAGTACGATAACAGAGGATACTATAAACAACAATATGCAGATTAGATTGATCGATACATATATAAGATGTTTGGTTGATTAATTTTCATAGATCAAAACGAACAAAATATTGAAAATTAAGAATTCATTCAGTGCAACTCGTTTATTATCAATTGAGTCTGCAAATATATATATATTTCTTAACAATTGACGTAGGTGAAACAGGAGTGAGATATCGATGCTTATTCGAAAGCTTTAATTATTTGAAGGTCTGAAATAATAAATAATAATAATAGTTAAATAGTAATGGGGATTAAACTAAACAATATTCAATTGTCTGTTTTCGAGAACTTTCATTATCAAGTAATGATTAGATGAATTATAGGAATAAATTAACTAAATCATAACAGTTTCATTGACGAACAGAACAACTTAGCTTAGGATTCATACTATCAAAATATATTAACTTATAGTGCCAGTGTTATGGAAAATATCCAAACAATTGCAAAAAAAACATCTTTTAGGTGGAGTTTTGTTCTCAGAGTTGGATGGTTTGATCAGAGAATAAAATTATTCACTTGAGTTATAAATCTCTATCATTACAAAAAAAACACCATACACAACGAAATAAATATTTTGGCTCAAGTAACAAGAAGAACTATTACTATATGAAGAGGTTTTCACGAAAGTAAACATCTTTGATTGCTGTCATGAAAATGGTGTCACAAATGATAATTAGATGGAATAAACAAAATAGAACTGTTGAGATGAAAAAGATGGATGACATTTTATGTACAAAAGAGATATTTCATCATATCGTACCATACCAATTTGGTTTTCAGATTGGGGTCATTCTAAATAAATGTTGTATAGGTTCTTATTATTCCGTTGTTGATATCAAGAGTTCAACCTAATCACTATATAAATGGATTGGTCCTTTGAATAGATACATGGATAATCAATATAAACGCATACTTGAGGTATCATTCATTTGCTCACGCCACCAATAGTCATATTTAATTGTGAATATCAGCAATGGAAAAATATAAGCTGGTGGTTACCGCAACCTAAAATAGGTGTTAGGTCACGGTCTCAGTGAATCCCACTTCTACGTATTACTTTCGGTAGAGCTAACAAGATAATTATGGTCATCCCTTGACTGATGAAACTAGACCGTAGCTAGTATCTTGATGTGATGATAAGGTTTCCATATGGTAGCAACTCAATAGAGCTAATATTGTCTAGAACATGTTTTGGGCAGATCGGCTGGATAGGGGTAAGAAAGAGCAGTAAATACGGGGTATGAAATGAAGATCTTACTACTCACTATTGGAGCGTGACATTACTTACGGACACAGTATCTCAAACGCATACCTAAAAAAATCCTTCATGTTGGCTGGAATAGTAGTAAATTTGAAAGGTTAGGGGCGCGAACATCAAAACACAGTTACTATGAAGTCAGCGACTGTTAACCTGAACCGTCCCCACAGTCACAGATCTTTTAGTTGAAGAAGGAATAATAACCATAATTGATGGATGGAGAGGAATAAGACGACACGACTCGAAATTAGTGGTAGTGGTGGTAAAATCGTGGTTAATTTTATTTCAAAGTCTCAGTTCTTTGAACTTCTTCTTGCTATTAGTTTACCAATAGAGCAAATACTATTTTACTCGGGTGCTTCATGTCTTGTTACATTGTTCTTTTTCTCTTTAATTTCTGATGTGAAAAATGTGGCAAATGGGACTGATAAATACTTGTGTCAAGTCTTGCGATAAGGCCGATGATAGAGCTGTAGCTGCAAATTTAAATTTGAAGTCTAGATGAATACATTTTGTAAAGAGTAGTTTATAAATCGTAGTCAATCAACATATTGTAGTGAGGAGAACTAATTTTTGAAATAATAAAGCTTAATGAATTGGTAAAGACAGGTGTTACTAAAACTCGCTAATACACTATACCATCATTATCTGATTATATTGTCATAAAAAGGGTGACATAAATGAGCATGCGTAAAGGCAATAAATTCCACTTCTTGTTAACTTTCAGACTAAAACAGATTTCGTGCACTGCAGCACAAATACAATGTTAAACTTACTTTGCCCAATCGACTTTTAAAACAACATGGTTATGTCTAAGACCATTGACACCATAAATTGCACTTTTCGCCTCTTCCGCAGTTCTGAAGGATATAAAGGCAAATCCCTAAAAATAGAATTAAATGAAATGAAAAAAGATGACTAGAACATTTTATAGATTGCAAAGCAATTTAACTGCAAATACATGTTTTTTTTGTAATAGAGGGACACATTTTAAATCTATTTTAGACTGTTTCATCATTCGTCATTTCCTAATACCTTCTACTTAGAATAGACGGTCTTAATTCATTTCAAAACCATTCCTAAAGTATGCATCCAAGTTAGTAAAAAATGTGCCATAAGGGTCATTTTTTTCATCTTCCGTGAGCTCGATATCGTGGTTTCAGTGTTATGGTAACAATTTGTCTTTTGCCCAGTATTGGTGTCAGATTTGTTTTATACGTTCTTATCTATTACGCTATTGGAATTATGACTAACACTGGAATTAAATACGCGCGTTTTGTCATACTTGGAACTCGTCAGATGTACACCCATTTCAATGTTGATGTCGACATACCGATTCGAAGCTTATAAAGTAAATAGTACTGGTACTTATGGCACAAATGGCTATGTGAAGACAATCTGCTTAGGTAGCACATTTGCCAACAAAGACAAGATAGAAAATTCCAATCTTGAATATCAACGGCAAGATAATACAAATTCTTACTCAATATTACTGTTACCTCAGAATACAACATATGCATGATGACAATTAAAGATTATAATTGCTTTTGCGGTTTTTATGTTTTTCCACATGGCTAAACTGGTGTGTCATTAACTCTTCGTAATGTGCACCATTGTTTAGTGATAAGAAAGGAAATGTAAAGAGGTTACCTCGCTGATATGCATATATTGAGTTATTCTTTCCATTTTGCACAGATGTATAATTGTTTGGATGCATGCTATCACGACCCAACTATTGTAATTAGTGTTGTTAAACTTAAATATGCGTAGTTTTAGTAAACTCTGATTTTAAGAAAACTTTCACATATACTTATTGAATGTTTAGGGCATCCTTTTAAAAATAATAAAAGTGGATACATACAGAAAGTGAAATAATTTACCCTGTTTTGTTGTGTCAATTTATCCTTTGCTGGATAGATGCGCATTACGTGACCAAATGCACTGAACACTGATTTCAATTCATCTGCAGTTGTATCCGGTGGTAAATTAGTAACACGTACAGTGTTTTCATCAAATGGACGTTTATCCGTTGACATACTGGACCCACTAGTATTGGCTGCATCACCACGTAATGATGGTGGTATATAACGTCCAGAACGATCGTTTTGCTACAAAATGAAAGTGAATCTTTATCAGAAATATTATGGGTCAAACAGTAAGAAAACGAAAGCGGTTTCTTCAGTGCAATTTCCTATTGACAGTAAGTTATATCATAAATCACTTCACAAAAACATATGCCCATACACACAAAATTCATATAAGATTTAGTCTATAAGTCATAAAAAAAACATGACAATGTTAAACACCTAATCGATATTCTCAAACTGAAGATTCGTGCACTGAAAAGACTAGCTTTTCCTTGCCTAACGTGAAGTCTTCGGTCAACCTAGGACAACTATGATTTGTCAATACGATCTTAATTCATTTCATCAAGCCAGTAGTCACTAATAATATTTCAATATTCTATTCAAGAAAATATTCAGTCAACCGTAGGCTTCTGACTCTTAATTTCATTGATTTGCGCTAATGCTGGATGGGAACTTAAGCTGGCGTACCTTTTTCTTGGCTCTGTGCTGATTACAACTGGATGTAGAATTTAGGGTTAATTTTATTTGTCATGCGGAACATTATTATTATTATTATGCAGTGACGTTAGGTTTATAGTTTAAAATATCTTTCTGTTGTACTAACAATAACGGTTTCTGTGTAACAGCATATTTTCTCTACTCACGTCATGAACGAAACCTTTAAGTTACATGATAGGTTTAGATAAAATTAACTAGACAACCGACTAAATCCAGAAAGCACCGAATAGCTTTTTCTTTTTGGTGTGAAACTCTTTAGTAGCTCACACTCAAGACTCAGCTAGGAACCGTACTCGGGACCTTTACAGTGAACACGTTACATCTTTATATAATCGAAGCAGTATCCAACAGTCCGAATTTCGAACACCTCAATCAACTCACGATACCATTATACAAGCTATAATTGACCATCAATGATACTCAACTCCTTTCGGATATTGTTGTATCTCACCATACACGGCTTTATCACTAGGACTTTGATGATTCTTTCCCAGCTTGAATATTGAAGATCTACACTGATGAGTATAATATTACTTTTTGAAAGGAAGGTGTTTGTGAAGATTATTTGAATCACTCCATAACGTCATGAACTGTCTTTAAATTGAATAATCTCTACGATGCTATTTTTCGGTAATATAAATATTACAGACCATAAATATATACAGCTCTCCATACCTGAGATAGAAAAAAACCAACTCCGACTTACTAATTCTTTAGCTGTTTCTTCTGTAGGTTCCGTTTTAGCACGAAGTTGTTCTTGTAACAACTGCATTGCTTCCATATCACTTTTGTACGGGCAAGTACGAGTGAAATGTCCACCTTTACAATAATTACAAACAATCACAGGTTCTCCAATTTTGGTTTTCACATTCATCTCTTCCTGTCTCTTTTGCTCTTGTTCAGGCTGTATGAAAAAAATGAGATTAGGGAATACATGAGTAGAATTTGTTAAATTGCTTCAAACCAATAAGTATTGCAATATATACGTTTTTAAGATGTGTTTGTTTGCTTTATCAAGTCTACAGGATAGTGTTCGGATAGTACAACCCGGATAAATATAAACTCAAAATAAAAAGAATCGATCAAACTTACGCAAAGTAGAAACTGACACGTGTGCCAGATGAGTTGAAATTTATCAAAATTGTTTATAAGGTTGACTACTATGAGGAACAAGTAATTAAAAATCCCAGTAAGTAACGCGAAATCTGAAAGCTATATGGATTGTATCACACATTTCAGTCTTAAGAACTTGTCTGTAACTTTTAGTTTTAGTAGGACATTTAAGTTAGTTTGAGTAAAATATGTCTAAAATACTAGCCTCTACGAAAACTTAACGCTTAACTAGGGCTCGTAAGGAGCAAACTTGAGAAAATTAGGCTGGTTTCAAACCTAGACGTGGATGTGTAAAACAAATTAGTCACTCGTCAGGTTTTACAACAAAGGCATACTTTCCGGCGCTCAACAATAATTGTATTCCATGACCTTAGGGTGGTGTTCAACAAGTTCTGAGTCAGTCTGTGACTAAAAGGTATATGAAAGAAGTACAGTAAGCTTGTATAGGCTCTTTAATCAAGTACTACTGGTCAAGTTAGAGCTATTAGCAAACTGTCATCGAAATCGGTTACTTCAAGTAGGGTTCATCAAGGTTGTCCGATTTCCCCATCTTCAACTAACTTTGTCATAGATGTGCTTTTAGAGATAACACTTCCATCGCCTGATTTCAACGGTTGATCTTCTACCTGGATATTCACTTGGTAACTTAAAATACTCAGATGACACAGCCCTTTTTGGTGAAGACGCTGACAAAATGAGTCTTCTGACCCCCTTTAACAACAATCCCAGAATGTTTGGGATATGATTCTCTCCTGCCAGATGCAAAATGTTGCTTCAGGAATGGGTCTACATCAACACCTGAACTAATGATGCGGAGTAAAAATGTCAACTATATTGACCACTTCACTTATCTCAGGGTTCTCATCAGTCTTGGTGACCTGGTGTTTGACAAAAACTCGACACGGATTCAGATAGCTCGGTTGGCTTTAGCCAACTTGCGTTACATGTGGTGTAGGCGAGATATTTGTCTGCCACACAAAAGATGAGTTTGCTAAGCAGTAGTCCGCCCCGTTCTAGTTTATGTGTGTGGAACATGACTATTAAGAATATAGGATATTCATAGGTTACTACGTGTTTCAAAGCATCACTGATGTATTTTGAGACAACCGAGAGAGGTCTATCTCGACAGGCGATGTCCGACGTAGGAGCACAATGAAAGTAAAATAGGAGCGGTCAAAATAGAGCGTAACATCAGCCTATGAGGACACTAACTGTTGGACTGAGCTAAGTAGGTACATGAAGAGGTAAATATTTTGCACACATTAGTTAGACCGATTTCTTTGTGGTTTTTTACTTCTTGTAGATTGGAACGATTAGCAATCGACACCAATCAGATGGGATCACGTTCGTTTCCCAGATTCCAGCTAAAATACCAGTCAATCTAGCTTCTGAAACTGGACTACCGTCCTTAAAAACCTCAGGAGTCAATCTATTACAAATTGCTACCCTCCTTCACCTTGGATTTCTATAGCATTTGCAACCCACCGAGTTGGAAAGCTTACATCAATTTGCTATTCAGGCCTCTTCGAGATAGTGAGTAACTGAAGTGTGGCTGAAGACCAGTTGAACTGTTCCCTAAAGTGTTCTGTCTATCAGTCGAATCTCCAGGATTTCAGTGAATAAGTCTCATCTTTTAGTGAGATAGTCTCACTAACGGCCGTAAGTTAAACACCCGTTTGCTTAATACGTCTGAGCAGTTGACTAATGTTACTTATCTCAGCTGTCTTTTCCATCTCTTCTGCTTTCGCTACTCACCACTACACATTATTATTACGTAGGCTTTTTATCAACCTACGTTTAATTGCCTCCGATCATCATCGTGTTCGGAGCCAAACGGGATGGATTTCCTAGCACCTATCAGTTAAGTAGACGCCACTGAAATCCACTGATTCCTCTTAACGTCTTGGTTTAAGTTATCAGTAAATATCACTGTTGTCTTCACAGCTTTTTGGATATCATGCCAAGTTACTTCGAGGTGGATATCCCTTTCGTGGTTGACTAAGTTGCTTTGTATTTATTTCTGAAACAAATGTAAGCTTTTTCAACATTACGTTGAACTGTAAAGGCTTTTTTACCGTGGCTGTACTGCAGGAAAATACGTGCTCGAACTAGGGCATAATTCGAGTCTAAAAATGTACTCCAAAATGAGCAATAGTCATCTATCGAGCCCTTCAACGATGGCTAGTGGCAACATGATCTGTCTGAGCTAATCGATAAGTCGACTGTGGGGACCTCCATCCCAAACGATGTTTTTTTACTTGCGTTTGGAGCTAGTGCTTTCTAGAAATGGGTGTTTATGTAAACATACTTGCAGATGACGGACGTCATTACCTGTTGGTTGAGTCGCGACACCGTAAGATCCGTCTACGTGCCTTTATATTTGGTTTAGCTTACGTACTTGAGCATTAAAATCAGCTGCCACTACTAGTACATCAGTGTTTAGCTTTTTGAAGGAGGTTGGATAGCTTCCCATAAAGTTTATCTTTAACTTCATTCGAGTTGCCATTAGCAGTCGTGAAGGCAAAGGCAAGAAAAATCCTACGGCGTCTGTCCCTATCTTTTCGATTTCCTAATGTCTCGTTTAGTCGGACAGTTCAAAATCGAATATCTATTACGATCCAGTCTACGAGGCCCAGTTCTGCTTTGAACATAGTAATATACTGACAACACTAACAAGGCCACAGGAAGTAACAGTTAAGGTCACAGAATACACAAAGGGTATATCGTACTGTTTTTAGATTGATAAGGTGAGGACAGACTAATAACTGTACTTGGATCCTGTATGTGGGTTTCGGAAATGCAGCATACATCTAAGGCGCGAAGTTCTAGAGTTCAGCTAAAGAAACCTGTTGTCCCATCTGACATAAGGTTTGAACATCAAAAGCTCCAACATGCAGTTTAGAGCGTAATTTCAAAAGATCAAGAATAACATTTCGTGAGTCAGTCAGTCAGCTACAACGTAGGACCAGGCATATATATGCATCGATCCAAGTTGCCATACCACATTAACACAACAAGATGGACACCGGACTCATAAAAGTAGTTAATTCAGAGGTGGTAATATATAAAAGAAAGATTGCAATAAGGATGTATTACACGAAGAAAGAATTAGTTGGTAGAAAGTAAGATATGAAGCGATTTTAATCTCTTAGTTTAAGGGAAGACAGAGAGTGTATACACCGAAGCCATTGTGATCGATTCTGAGCCATGTCACCTAGAGTCTCAAACCATTGGTTACGATAGTCACGCGGACCCCAACCAATTAGTCTGCATCTACCAACATGTCTCAGACTAGAAGTTAGTGACTTCAAGCACTGATGCCACGTTTTGGTTTGGCCGTCCCTAACATTTCGTGAACTAAAATCATTAGTGCCACGTCATGATAAAGATATACGAGGAACATTAGTCAAGGGATGCAAGAATTATTATAAGGTGAGGGAAGGATTCAATCGTCAACAAGATGAATCCGAGTGCTATGAAGACGGTGATTAATTTTCCTACTGTCCACACCGTCGAAGAATACTTTTTCTTGACGGATCTGATAAAGCGGGATTAGTAGTCTTAGTGACCTGGGAGTATGAGCGCAATGCCCAAGGGACAACTGCTTGAGACCGGTCGCGCACGACCTTTTTATGGGAATTTTATAATGTGGTTGGCTTCACACTTCAAAACAATTTTGCCCCCAAATGCCCTGGTACGGCCGAGAGCGAGGAGAGTCCGCTCTTCCTCTCGAAATACTCTCACATGGCCAAGCGTATATAGCCTCTGCCAGGGAAGTCCTAATCACTGCCTTCTCGTGGCGGGGGCGTTGTTTACAAAAATGAGAGGACGGAAAGCGAATGTCCGGCGCTTTAACCGGATTCCCAACCAATGGTGCACATGGGCTCTAGTATCCTGCGGGAACAAATGGCGTATAAACCAATTGTTGGTCACCGACTTCCACGGGATTGCATCTCCTTACGATGCTCCACTGCCTTGTGGGCTAGACCTTTAGGTCTAAGGCTCGACGAAGATGAAAATGCGTGGGGTAAGGTGGGGTGTGACATTTTTATGGTCGACCTTTCTAACTCTTTCTTTCCGTTGTGAGGAGACAGCATCGCTGCCGATGCTAGTTGTCCAAGGGAAACACCTCTCTGCAACCATCAATACGAGTTTGCCCTCGGACCTTAGGTTGCTGGTTTTAGTCTCCAGACGGCTTCCATGGCATGACAGGACCTAAAGGAACGTGTTACAGTTAAAAAAGCTCGGTTGAACCATCAGGATAGGCAAGCACGATCATCAAGTTAATGTATCAGGTACTATTGGTGCTGTTGCTAATTCTACTACGGTGGGATTTACATTGATAGTTCATCTCGATATGCTAACTTGGTATAACAACTACATCCAATACTCATGTCTTAGGTTCTATGTCCCATATGACTAACTGCAGACAGTCAAATGATTGACATCTCATCTGTAGTATGTGACAAGTTTTTAAACAATAAATAAATAGTAAATGAACAAAAATATGCACATGCCTGTCTCGATTGAACAATTTGCATGGTAACTACATCGGCTGGGTAAGTATTGGCTAAATTTCCACCAGACGGATCAGATTTTGAAGCACCAAACTTTTTCCACTTTTTTCTGTCCGCTACTCGTGAAGCAACAACACGTTTTTCTCTTTGGTATTCTTTAGTTTCCTTGATCAAATCACCGTCTTCATTGAAGAAATATCGTACGACAGTTTTAATGTTACGTTCCGAATCGAACTTTTCTTCAATAGGGGGCAATTCTGAATCTTCGTTTAACTCATCTGTCCAACTGAATATAAGCGGGTCGTAAGAAAACGTCAAGGTGAATAAGTTAATAAAAATTGACTTTTCGTCAGTTCTCGTCACACTGACCCACCAAAAAATCTTACGAAATTATCTAAGCAATCAAACTTCTAATTTTGTATAGTAACTTACAATTTCCTGAAATACTGGTTATTACGTTATTGTTCGACTTTTTTATATCCATCAAGTGAATAACTACCTTTCATGCACTTATTTTTACATTGTTTTTTCTAACCTCTCAACTGTTAGTCAATCCTCTTGTGACACTTTACATCTCTAAACATTTTGAGGTGTGATCACTTTCCAAATAAATTATAAATACGACTGGACAGTTTTAATATGCAACACTACTGAAAAAGAAAGTTTTCGCTAAATTTTCTTTATTCCTTCTTAGATAACAAAACAATAATTTTCATGTACACTGGAAAGTGGAAAAACTCATCAGAATGGACTTCTAGTATGTTCACATGGGAGAAACAAAGAATAATTATGCAAACTATTCCATGCATCCTAGTGCGTCATAAACAAAGTAGAACCTGAGACCTGTCGATTAGTCCGATTTCACAAGCCAAGTCAACATAGGGGTGGGGGTGGAATTTTTAAGATGAAAAATGTAGTAAAAGTATCAGGTGTTGCCAAAAATTAAGGATGAAGAACAAGAATCAAGAAAGAATAAAGTAGCGGGATAAAAAGTGTGAACACTTGAAATCTAAAGAAAGACGTAGTGAATACATCTGCACTATTTATATTGATTCTGAGCCGTGCCACTCAACAGCTTCAAAAGACAGCGACAAAAACAATGCGGACCGCAACTAGGTAGTCCGCACTAACCAACATAGTTGAGTTTTATTTATTTATTTGAAAACATGAATATTGGTACAAGAATGCGCCAAATATATATGCGCCACACAAAACAATGAGAATTCGAAGAGGAATAGAAAAAAAAAGCTAAGGAGCGCAAAAAAAAGAGAGAACAATAACGAAGAGATTGGTGTAAGGTAATGTGCTAGTAATCAGGGAACGCAAAGGTACAATCGGAAGAAATCTTTCAGTTGAGGGAGACACAACCACCTTTTATGAAGAAAGTAAAAGAAGGTTACAGCAGGATTGCCACTGACTTCTATTCTGAGCCATATCTGATGACGTCTCTAGCCACTGTGTTGCACCATCTCTCAGACCCCAACCAGGGAGTCGTGAAGGACCAACACAAGCCAGTTCTTTGCAGCTTTCTTTCATGCCACGACACCATGTCATGCACTGACCACCTCTCCGCTTCTTCCAACCAGTCCCAGAGTCGGAAAATAATGCACGACGTGGGATTCTTTGGGACGACATTCTTAGAACATGTCCAAGCCACCGAAGTCGGTGTTTCAAGATGGTGACACCAATTGCATTATCATCTCTGTGCCAAGAACACACGATGCCGAACCTCTGCATTGCTGACATGGTGTTGCCACTGAATGTCAGCAATCCTTCGGAGACAACGATGATCGAACACAGAGAGTCGTCTAACGTCCTCAACTCGGAGAGACCAGGTTTCACAAGCATAGAGTAAAACTGCTCTCACCGACGCGTTGTAGATCCGACCTTTTACAGCCAGACTAACATCACGAAGGCGCCAAAGGTGGCCCAGATTAGCATAAGCCGCTCTGGCTTTCACTATACGTGCATTGATCTCATCACTCACACCCCACACTCCCCTAAGATAACCACCTGCTTCGGTTTGGGCACCCGGGCAGTATCACAGCCCATACACAAATGATGAACTCTATGTCTATGGAAACTACTTTTCTCGCTTCGAAAAACAATCAATTGATTCAAATTATTATCATTACTATTTTTGTCATTATTAATACTATTATTATTATTGTCATTATTTTCCACATTATTCACCCACCTTTATACTTATACAGCTGCTCGTCTTTGGTGGAAATTCGACTCTATCTAGAAATTCTCGAGTCACTGTCCGGTCGAAAATTGTATGTAACCACCGAATATGAGTACTGAAGCAGTTTTTCTGAAACCACGTGCGCCATTCTAACTGGCTGCCTTCAACGTTCGCACACTTATGCAGATTGGTTAACAGATAGGGCTGGCTATGTCTTTGGAAAGTCTTCATATCGATGTCTGCTGTCTATCCGAGACCCGTATTCAAGACTCTGGTGAAGTACTACAAATTCGCTCTACATCTGTCACTTCAAAAAGCTTGTTTGACGTGCGTTTGTCCGGGGACCCTGTGGCATCTTCGTCTGGTCTTGCTGGCGTTGGTGTCGCACTAAGCGCTAGAGCTGAGGCAGCACTAATCGATTGGATCCCCATTAACAGTCGGTTATGTGCTGTTAGATTAGAGAGTTTGTTATAATCTCGTCTTACGGTTATGACCCAGCTATTCCTATTGCTTAGTATTCTCGGACACCGATAATTCGACAAGTCCCCAAATCAGAACACGGTTGAACAGGAAAGAGATTATATCCCAAATAACAAGGTTAGATGGAAGTAAGATGCCAGTAAGAAGCACAATAGGGAAAAACGTCAGTATATTTATAGTTTTTTACATGAGAAGATTCTAGAGTATTCTCCAACTATCGACTAGTGCTGATTTGATAAGAATTAGCCAATCAGCGTGCACCAAAGCAATCGCGCATTGAGCTTGCTTTAATCCAGTCTATGTTTCGCTAACAGAGTTCCATCAAAGTGAGAAGAAATCGGCGTGGGAAACGATGACTTTTCGTTATCTCCGCCTATGCCCCGACAGATTGCAGCCCGGATGCAATCAAGGATGAGTTTTACCACCAGTTATCTGTTCTTCTCCAGAAATTGCGTTCGACAGATATTGTGGTACTAGCCGGAGACTTGAATGCTCAGTTCGGGAGTCTAGGCACAGAAGAGAGTCGTTTAGGTGGCCGATGAGGACTTGTTGGTCGCAGGACAGATAACGGGGACCGTCTACTGCAACTTTGCACAGGCCACAACCTGTTTCTGGCTAGCACTAACTTTCGGCACAGTCATCGCCGATGTGCCACCTGGCGTCCTCCCTCTGCATCCCACGCCTGGACTCAGATTGATCACATCGCGATCAGCTTTCTCTGGCGTGGTTGTGTACAAGACTGCCGCTCCTTTTGGAGTACCTATCTGGACTCTGACCATGCTTTGGTCTGCGCCAATCTTACCTTACTTTTCAGTGGCCAACGAAGTGACCGCCACCAACGGATTGATATTAGCAAGCTGGTTGCAACTTTTGTTGCAAATAAGTATCGAACCGAGCTAGCCTCTAGGCTAGCTACCACTCCATTGAAAAGTATAGATGAGCATTGGTTGCAATTGCATGACGCCATGAAAATGGCGGGAACAATCAGTTGTGGGTTTGCGAAACGTCCCGCTTATAAGCACTGAGTTTCTTCTGGTTCCTTACAACTCATTGAAGTCCGTCGGTCTACTCCGGGTGACCGTGACTTTGACCATAAACCAAGGATGTTACGTAAGGAAATTGGGCAAAGTTTGCATAAGGACCGATAAGCCTGGTGGTCGAAGCGTGCTAATGAGCTGGAAGCAGCAGCTGCATCTGGTAATTACCGGAAGCTCTTCCAACTCATCCAAGCCACTGGCAGCAAGAAGTCTGGTGTGAGTGAAACAATCTGCGAGGATGATGGGATGCCAATCACTAACATCCATCGACGTCTTGGACGATGGGCAGAATTTTTCGAAGGGCAGTTCAACTGGCCTGCTGCTCCGGCAACATCGGTCAGACTGTCCTGCCCTTCATGGCCGGTGACGATTGATCCACCAAATGAGGCGGAAGTCCGCAAGGAACTCCAACTCTTGAAGCGTTACAAATCACCTGGCCCAGATGACTTACCTCCGGCTCTTTTTAAAGATGGTGGTGACTTTCTGACTAAGGAACTGACGACGTTGTTTACAAAGGTTTGGGGATTAGAGAGTGTACCAACTTCATGGAATGAGTCGATAGTTGTCCCTATCTTTAAAAAGGGTTCACGTCGTTCCTGCAACAACTATCGGGGGATAAGTCTACTTCCGATTGCGTCCAAGCTATTGGCTTCCGTCATACTTCGTAGGTTGTTCAAAACCCGAGAAAGATTGACTCGCGAGGAGCAGGCTGGGTTTCGTTCTGGTCGAGGATGTATTGATCATATCTTCACCCTCCGCCAAATGTTAGAACATCGCCATACTTATCAAAGGCCAACAATCGTAGTGTTTCTTGACATCAGGGCTGCCTTCGATTCGTTGGACAGGACTGTTCTCTGGGATTGTCTATTGAAGAAGGGTGTGCCTGAGAAGTTTATTATTACTCATCAATGACTAAAAATCTAAGAAAGTGTTTGGGTTAAAACCTGTCCAGACATAAACTAGTCGACACAATTGTTATATCTGATTTCGTAAAGCATGTAGAGGATGCCATTATATATCATTCAGTATAGCTCTTCTCATTACTTGACTTGATTGTCTTATTATCACAGAAATACATCTAGTCTCGAGTATATGCCATTACTTGGTAAGCGATTACACGTTACTTTCCTCAACATTTACATTGCTATCGGTGACTGTCTGTGCACGGATTCAGAAAGCTCATTTGACTTTTGCCAACTTACGTCATCAATGGTGAAGGCCAGATATACGTATATCAAATGAGGGACGAATATACTGTTAAGCAGTTCGTTCTGTTCTACTTTACGGCTGCGAAACGTGGTCATCAAGAGTAGATATTCGTAAGCTACTAGTATTTGATCACAGATGTCTTAGAAATATTGCTCGTATTTGCTGGGACCACCGTCAGTCAGCTACAACGTAGGACCAGGCACATATGTGCATCGGTCCAGGTTGCCATACCTTATTAGCACAGCAAGATGAACACCGGATTCATAGGAGTGGTTAGGTCAGAGGTAATATATAAGAGAAAGATTGCAATAAGGATATAGTATAGGAAGGACCACCGGGTAAGTAATAGTGAGGTTAGACGCAGGGTATTAGGGAATGATGGTAAATCAGCTGATGAGGTTGTGAGTCTTCATCGACTGAGATGGTTGGGCCATGTGTTACGTATGCCTGAACACCATGACGCGCAAGGATGAGTAGTGTTGGGGATGGTTGGAAGATATTTATTTATTTTAACACATAGATATTGGTACAAGGAGCTACCAAATACATATGCGCCACACAAGTCACATTCGATATGTGTGAGGGCTGTGATACTGTTCGGGTGGAAGAAAGTTAAGGGCGGCCAATTCAAAACGTGGCATCAGTGCTTGAAGTCACTAACTTCTGGTCTGAGCCATGTTGGTAGATACAGACTACTTAGTTGGGGTCCGCGTGACTACCGTGTCCAATGGTTGGAGACTCTAGGTGGCATGGCTCAGAATCGATCACAATGGCGTCGGTGTATACACTCTCTATCTGCCCTTATAAACTATGAGATTAAAATCGCTTCATATCTTACTTTCTACCAACTAATTCTTTCTTCGTGTAATACATCCTTATTGCAATCTTTCTTTTATATATTACCACCTCTGAATTAAGTACTTTTATGAGTCCGGTGTCCATCTTGTTGTGTTAATGAGGTATGTCAACTTGGACCGATGCATTTATGTGCTTGGTCCTACGTTGTAGCCAAGTATGACTGTTTAGCCGCCACAAAATGTTCGGAAATGTATCTAAGCGTTTATATGTGCGGTATATTCAGCATGCTGATTTGATTGAAACGTCTCAGATACCACTTAAGAATACTTCGCCAAGTAAACATAAGAATTACTTTTCCACGTCGTGGATACAACTACGTAGTCTAGGAACTATCCACATTGTAAAATAATTTGCAAAGGTTCTTTGAAACAATGGATATATGATCACTTTAAGCTACGCTATAGAAGCCAGATTTAAGCTTCGAAAAGGCAGCAATACATGTCGCTACCATCACCCAGAATTTGAAGGCAGGTGAACACAGTATGAATTCTTGTTTTAAAAATATCTAGGTACCCCAACATGCTATATTTCAGTGCGTTCACAGCACTATACAAGATATTTATCCGCGGAAAGTTGGGGTACTGTACCCAAGAGTCTAGTCTCTGTATTCAGAAAGATTGTAGGCTAAGATGAAAGATTTGAAAATTTGCAATTAAAATGACCCAATTAATAGTGGAGCTTTAGTTGTCATGGGTGTACCACTTATTACGTTAAAAGACCAGATGTGACCTTACTATATTGTTTAGATGAATTAGTAATAATTTCGAACTGTCATGTTTTTTCTGACTTCCCGTATTATCAAATCAATGACAACAAACACCCTCAGCTTTAAGGACCGTTATTACCCGGGTTTATTACAAAGTATTCTATATAGACAAAGACACAGAGTAATTGTTCAGACTATAATAGCTCAAGGTATCTGACATTAGTCAAAGGTTGTACGTCTCCACCTCGATATGTATAAGGTCCTTTCGTAAACACAACTATGTACTCAAAATAAACACATGACATCTACCTGTGTTAGCTATATCCTAATGGCTAACTTGTACCCGGTTGCTCATTTACTCGTATACATCTGTAATATACCTAAGCTTCCATGTTTGTTTGCCTATCTACTAGTTTTATTCTACTATTTTGCTAATCTACAAATATTCGATAGATGTTGGTTGACACCGGATATATTTTGGCACAACATAGGTTGGAATTGTCTGCAGCAACCCCGAATTCACTTAATTAAAAACAATTGTAAGGTATAAGAACTTCAACACAACTACTGAACATTCCAGTGTCAATGTATTTCCTATTTTAATAGATCCAGGTTATTACAGTGTCGACATAAATCCAATACGATGACAAAGGCATAGCTTTAGTGCTAACCTACTGTTGTTATTACTTTGAATAAATCGTGTTTATGTAGTCTGATTAAGATTTGAGTCTGCATTTTTATTACTATAGTTTTGGTTGATTTTATTACTAAAATACATACACAAAAATACTACTATCCGAGTTTTTTTCATCTTTTGATCATTAGTCACTAAAGTCAACAACAAAAATGGTGAACTTCTGAGCTTTAGCGATTTCTAAGTACTGATAATAACGACAACAAACTTACGACACTGTCATGTTGCTCCGCAAAATTAAAGGACGCGCCGCAAGTGTGTACAGGGACTTCGTACTTGTTAAGAATTAACCTTGCTTTTGTGTATTTATTGCATGAAAAGCATACTTGCTTAACTTCGGCTCGAACTGTTTCGGCTGAGGTTTGGAACTTTTACAAGTCACTTTTGTGGTACTTACTTAATTACGCCTGTTACTCCTCGTGAAGGAGCATAGGCCGCTCACCAGCATTCTCCATCCAACCCTGTCCTGGGCAATCCTTTCTAGCTCCGTCCAGTTGTAATTCATCGTTTTCATATCTGCTTCTATTATCCGACGTAATGTGTTCTTTGGCCCTCCTCTTTTCCGCCTTCCTTCAGGATTCCAAGTTAGGGCTTGCCTCGTGATGCAGTTTGATGATTTGCGTAATGTATGTCCTATCCATTTCCATCGTCTTTTCCTAATTTCCTCTTCAGCTGGAAGCTGATTTGTTCTCTCCCAGAGAAGGCTATTGCTGATGGTATCCGGCCAACGGATGTTGAGTATCTTGCGTAGACAGCTATTTATAAATACTTGTACTTTCTTGATGATGGTTGTTGTAGTTCTCCAAGTTTCAGCTCCATACAGTAGAACTGCCTTGACGTTGGTATTGAAGATTCTCACTTTGATATTGGTTGAAAGTTGTTTTGAGTTCCATATGTTCTTTAACTGTAGGAATGCTGTCCTTGCTTTGCCAATCCTTGCCTTTACGTCTGCATCTGAACCTCCTAGTTCATCGATGATGCTTCCTAGGTATGTGAAGGACTCTACATTTTCCAGAGTTTCGCCATCAAGAGTGATTGGATTGTTGTTTTACGCTTTGAATTTGAGGACTTTGGTTTACCCTTTGTGTATACTGAGGCCTACTGATGCAAAGACTGCTGCTACACTGGCTGTCTTTGTCTGCATCTGTTCATGTGTATGCGATAGGAGGGCTAGGTCATCTTCGAAGTCCAAATCGTCTAATTGATTTCGAGCTGTCCATTGTATTCCGTGTTTTCCTTCAGATGTCGAGGTCTTCATAATCCAGTCGACCACCAGAAGAAAGAGGAAGGGAGAGAGTAAACAGCCTTGTCTGTCTCCGGTCCTTACTTGGAATGCATCTGTCAGCTGTCCTCCATGCACGACCTTGCACTGTAGTCCGTCGTATGAGTTCCGGATAATGTTGACAATCTTCTCGGAACTCCGTAGTGTCGAAGAAGTTTCCATAATGTCCTCCTATCCACACTGTGAAAAACCTTTTCATAATCAATGAAGTTGATGTATAGTGACGAGTTCCACTCAACTGATTGTTCAACGATGATCCGTAGTTTTGCAATTTGATCTGTGCACGATCGATCCTTACGGAATCCAGCTTGTTGATCTCGAAGTTGGGCGTCTACTGCATCTTTCATCCGGTTCAGCAACACTCTGTTGAAGACCTTCCCTGGTATTGACAGCAGTGTAATGCCTCTATAGTTTTCACATTTGCTCAGGTCTCCTTTCTTTGGAATCTTGACGAGGTGTCCTTCTTTCCAGTCCATCAGCACTTGTTCCGCCTCCCAAATCTTTTTGAATAGAAGATAAAGCATGTTTATAGTTGCTTCGATGTCTGACTTCAGTGCTTCAGCTGGTATGTTATCCGGACCCGCTGTTTTCCCGTTCTTGATTTGTCTGACGGCCATTCTGATTTCTTCCGTCGTTGGTGGGTTGACGTCTATGGGAAGATCTGTGTGTGCCGCTTCGATGTCCGGTGGATTCATTGGAGCCGGCTTATTCAGGAGTTCCTCGAAGTATTCTACCTATCTGTTCCGCTGTTGTTGAATTTCGGTGATTGGCTTGCCTTCTTTGTCTTTGACCGGTCTCTCTGGTTTACTGTATTTTCCTGCTAGTTTCTTCGTTGTATCGTGAAGCTGTTTCATATTTCCGTCTCTAGCAGCATTTTCCGTCATCTTTGCTAGTTCTTCTACGTATTTCTTCTTGTCGGCTCTAATGCTCCTCTTCACTTGTTTGTTTGCTTCTATGTATTCAGCTTGTGCTTGGACTTTCTCTGCTCGTGTTCGGCTGTTGTTTATTGCTGCTTTCTTGTTCTTCCTTTCTTTGATCTTGTCCAGTGTTTCTGTAGAGATCCAGTCCTTATAATGGTGTTTCTTTAGACTCAGTACCTCTTGACACGTTGAAGTTAATGCTTCTTTGATGCCTTTCCAGTTGTCTTTCATACTAGTTTCTTCTTCTTTCAGTAGATCTTGTAAGGCTTGGAGCCTGTTGTTGAGAGCTATCTTGAATTCATTGAGTCTGTCAGTATCTCGAAGGAAGGCTGTATTGAACCTTTGTATTGCTGTTTGTCCACTTGTCCAGTTCTGTGTTAGCTTCAGTTTTAAATTGGCCACAACTAGGTGGTGATCTGAAGCTACGTCAGCACCTCTCCTGGTTCTCACATCTTCCATTGTCCTTCGGAATTTTTTGTTGATGCGAATATGATCTATCTGGTTCTCTGTAGTGTGGTCCGGTGAGATCCATGTAGCCTTGTGTATACGCTTGTGTGGAAATATTGTGCCTCCTATGACCAATTTGTTGAATGCACATACATTCGCAAATCTTTCTCCATTTTTGTTTCTTTCTCCCAGTCCATGTCGTCCCATAATATCTTCATATCCGGTGTTTTCTATTTCGACTTTAGCATTTAGATCTCCCATTAGAATGGTGAGGTCCTTTCTTGGGCATTTCTCAATGACTGATTGCAGCCACTCGTAGAACTGATCTTTAATGTCGTCGTTGCTATCATTTGTGGGTGCATAACATTGGATAATATTCATTAAGATCCCCCTTCTTCTTTGTTTTGAATGATGCTTTGGTGATTCTGGATCCGTGAGATTCTCATCCTACAAGTGCATTTCGTGCTACTTTGGACAGCATAAGAGCGACTCCCTGAGTGTGTGGAGCATTGTCTTCTTCATGACCGGAGTATAGCAGCATCTCTGCCGTAGCTAGCCTTTTCTGTCCAGCTTTGGTTCAGTGGGTCTCGCTGATTCCCAATACTGCTAAGTTGTATCTCCTCATTTCCATTGCTATTTGACTGGTCTTCCCGGCTTCCCACATTGTTCGAACGTTCCATGTACCTATAAAAAATTTTGCTCTGTTTATTAGAAGGAGCATCGGCCTCGTGGCTTCCGAAGGAACTCGGCTTTCACCATGAAGGGTCATAATTCTTCTAAATGAAGGCCTTCTAACTTCCAGGGCAGAGTTAAAATGGTTTGGATTATTTGTTCTGGTAAGCGCTTTTTTAGCGAGTTATTTTTCTACGAGATGGGGACGCTAACCTCATGCCCAACCCTCCTCCTTTACCCGGGCTTGGGTCCGGCAGTAACCCTATAAGAGCTACAGGCGGAGTTACTTTTGTGGTACCCTATATGTTATCATTTGATGGTGACAACTATTAACTTGTCAAGCATCCTTGGCTATCATAGATCGACTTATAACAAATGGTAGATTAAAATGAGAACATCTTTCATGAAAAACCACAATTTGCTCTCGTTTAGTCAGTTTGCAAATGAAAGCACGATCAAAGGTAACTGACTTTAACAGTAGTGTATATTTAAGTGATAGTAGTCGGGAGAGAAATTAATAGTATTGAGAATCCTTTAACTGTTACACCATCCACTAACCACAGCAATGAAAGGCTTCTCTACAATAATGGTATGTACATGAAGTGAATACATCAATATATTTTTTATAGGATGTATTGACGTTAATTTATGGTCTCAAAAGTCCGTAAATCGTAAAGAGCAGATCAACAATGTATTGATGAAATTAATTACAACAAACTTTTTGAGCATAAGTGATGTTGATCGATTTTCGAATGGTTTCCGAGATCTGGTTCAGGACTAACCAAGGAGGATTAGAAGTGTCCTGAGGCCATGCACAAGTGTCCGACCAAAGTTCATCAGCAGTGGGTTGAAAATGACGCAGGTATTCACTTTTTGACAACGCATCTACCAGTAACACCTAATATACTTTGTTCCCACCGAGAGAAATCAAAAGACAGAGTTGAGGAGATCGGAAGAGTGTATTTAGCGATAACCAATATATTGGAATGCTCTGATCTAATCTGGCTAGCGATTGTGGTAGATGATGAGCACAGCATTACCACACGTGATCTGGTGCGGATGCATGACCGAGCGCCTTCAGCTAGATGAGTCCACTAAAACATATGGTCAGCATTCAATGTCGAAAACTTACAGAGCTATTTAGTTTGTGGATTTATTTACCGCTACAGACCACTCCCTGCCTAGTGAGGCAGTGATGACCCTAAGACGTGGCCAGCCAGAAGTTTAAACCCAACGAGTCTGTCGTTGGTAAACACTCTTCTGATAGCTTACTAAATTTAGCAGCGTCTGGTCGTCTTTCCTTACTATATGGGACCGAGGTACAACATAATAAAAAAATAAAAATTGCAATGAAATTTTCGGCTCCTCGTAAACTGCATCGTTCTTTTCCAGCCGTCCTGGAAAAGAAAAAAGAAAATGTAAGTGCATGTCGAAATGCTCTTGTATGTACGTAAAAACGCAATGTCGGCAAAAAAAGAAAATAAACTCAAGCACACGTAATAGCGTTAAAAAAATTTTATGATTTTTTGTTCGTTTTTTCTAAATAAAAATATAAATATATGAGGTTATTAAAATTGTTTTTTTAAAATTACTATATATCGTAAAAAGAAAGATCGAGATAATATAAAATGTCGAGTAGTGCTTTACCTGCAATAGTCGTTTAAATGTTCTGGAAATCTTACTCCTCTTCCAGAACGTGTCGTTTTAAGTTTATTTTCAGACACATTTGGAGTGTCATCGCTAGTGTTGGTTGTTGGTTGAGGAATTATGAGTGTAGGAGTCGTGTTGTGCAATTGTACCGAAGGGAAATCGACGTGAATAGGATTTCCTTCAAAATACGCTGCTTTTAAGCGATCGATGCTGATGCTATCGTTTGTTCCGTTCTTATCGACTATATAGTACTTCGGTTCGCGTTGAAGAACTTTGAAAGGTCCTTCGTATGCCGA